GGGAGCCCGGTGGAGTTGTGAGGAACACGGTCCCAGGTGAAGCCAAGGTGGAGCCGACTGGTTAATGGCCAAGGTGGAGTAACAGGATCAAAAGCTTGACACAAAGCCAGGGGATCCACTCTCCAAGGCAGAGCTTGCCACCAAAAGGTCCGCGACAAATCCAACTTGAAAGATGGGACCAATAGAGGAGGAGACGAGGGACTGGAGAGAGCCAACAAAGGTGGGTCGAAGGACTGACTGGCTTAGGCAGAGGAGGCAGGAGTGGGAGGCATGGTGGGAGTTTCATCAATGGCATAGTCTTTGCAGTGCTAGTTTGTGCTTGCTGTTTAATATAATTTGGAACTTAGCAAACTATAATAATATTTAATAATCACCTAAAACGGAATTTATATCTGTATGCTATTATACTGTAGCAACATTGGACTAGCGCAGTTTGGAAAATGGATGGATGAATGGATGGTTTAGCTGCGGGCGCCGTCTTCTGGTCAAACGAAGAACTTCGTTCGGCACGTGACTCTCATAGTGCATTATAGGTATTTTCTAGCCATTTGCCATTCATCTGTTGTACACTCATAGTTGTGATGCATTGTGGGATTGAATGAGTGCACTCGATAACGTCCACTATGGTTTCAGACACCACTACAAATGGCTGTCCCCTCAAATAGTACCATATTTAAGTGTATAGGGGGCAATTTTGGACAGCCCATGACAACTTATGATGGCAGGAACATTACTCCAGTATTCAGTGTCACATGATCCTTCAGAAATCATTCTAATATACTGATTTAGTGATCATGAAACATTTGTTATTGTTGTAAACAGTTGTACTTAATATTTTCTTCAGAATTATTTGATGAATAGAAAGAACAGCATTTATTTGTAACATTATAAATGTCTTTGCTGTCACTTTTGATCAATTTAATGTGTCATTGCTGAATAAGAGTAGGCTATTAATTTATCTCATTATGGTCACTCTTTAGTTTGGGGTCCAATTCTCACTATTAACCACGACTTGTGCCTCAAAAAACTCCTAAATACTGCTTACTACTAGTTAGTAAAGTAGTTGTTTAGTGTATGTATTGGGTAGGATTAAGGGATGAAGAATATGGTCAAGCAGAATAAGTCATTAATATGTGCTTTATAAGTACTAATAAACAGTCAATATTCTAGTAATATGCATACTAATAAGCAAGTACTTAATAGTGAGAATTGGAGCCTAAACTAAAGTGTTACATATGTATGTATTCTAATTGATAAAGGGTTTGAACTGTTTGGAATCAACCATTTGAACTTTTGACTCGAAGCCTTAGTTCATGAGATATCCAGCCCTTGTGACTACGAGCTCAGTTCTCCTCACAGTACTGGATTTAATCTACCTTCAGAGTTTTTAAAAGATAATTATTTCTCGTGTTGGCCTCACAATAATAAAAATTCAAAGATGTGAAATATCTGATTTGCTGGGGTATGAAATTGCAAAAAGAGAGAATGGAGAGCCTTTATAGAGCATAAATCGTGCCAGTGAACAGATGACATGAACCATAAATAACTGAATTGTTTCTCATTGGCTTTTTTTTTCTTTTTTCTCAACTTTCATCCCCTTTTATTTTCCCCCAAAGGTTATGGGGGACAGCTTTCATTTTCTAAAAAAAAATAAAAAGGGGTTTGCCAGGGGCTGGGCACAAACAATCCACGCACACATAGGTAGGAGGAAGGAGGTATTCACAGAAATACACACACACACAAACACAGCTCCATGTCAGAAGCCAAAGGGCATCTGTCTGCCTGTCTGGCCAAGTTTTGTGGCTCTCAGAAGAAAAAGGAAGAGAAATGTTAATAAAGGCCTTGAGCCCTATAAGAGCCCTGAGACCACTACTGAGTTTCATATCACTGATGAAAGCAATAGAAACAGTATATGAAAAGCACCTTTTATACAAAAATGTGCTATTATGGCAGAGAAGTTGCATAGATTTATGTAATGTTATGATGATGAAAATGATTGTAAAAAGTCAAGTTATCCTTTTTTGTCTCATCACAGGCCAAGTGTAACATAAAAAAATATTTGCCCAATGACCACGACATAAAATTTGACATGTAATAAGAAAATTACATTGAGAGTCTTTCAATATGAATAGTTAAAATAATGCAAAATAAACCAATGTAACATATAGTTAGAAACACTATTCACTTATTTAAACAGAATTGTTCCTGTATAAAAAGAAAAAAAAACAAAGTAGCAAATTTTGTTGTAAGAGTAAGAAAAAAAAAAAGCTAAAATGGAGACAAGTACAGTATTATGAGGTAAAATATGATTGATTTCACAAACCAAACCAATGGTTTGTGAAATTAATGCAAAATAAACCAATGTAACATATAGTTAGAAACACTATTCACTTATTTAAACAGAATTGTTCCTGTATAAAAAGAAAAAAAAACAAAGTAGCAAATTTTGTTGTAAGAGTAAGAAAAAAAAAAAGCTAAAATGGAGACAAGTACAGTATTATGAGGTAAAATATGATTGATTTCACAAACCAAACCTTACTATAAATTTAATTTATTGCCATTTGAAGCCGAAATGTGTGTGTGTCTGCTGAGTGTGTGTTTATGCATGTTTGTTAGACATTTAGACTATGCGTGTGTGTGCTCTTGCAGGCATAAGGCTGTGTGTGTGTGTGTGTGTGTGTGTGTGTGTGTGTGTGTGTGTGTGTGTGTGTGTGTGTGTGTGTGTGTGTGTGTGTGTGTGTGTGTGTGTGTGTGTGTGTGTGTGTGTGTGTGTACCTGGTGTTACCTACATTATGGGACCAAATGTCACAAAATGGACATTTTTTGGTCCTCATGAGAAAAACGACTTAAAAATCATAAGAAATGAAGTTTTATAAAAATGTAAACATTCAGAACGTTTTCTGTGATGGGCAGGTTTCGTGGTAGGGTTACAGTCTGTATAGTAAAAAAATGATTATGCCTATGGAAAGTCCCCATAAAACATGGAAACCGTGTGTGTGTGTGTGTGTGTGTGTGTGTGTGTGTGTGTGTGTGTGTGTGTGTGTAGGCAGACAGTGGGTCAGAGCGATGAAGGGTTCGTATGGATATGTTGACTCAGCACTGAGTTATATATTCTGCAGCTGTTATGATCTGGTGAATGTCTGTCTAAGGAAGAGACTCTCCAGCCATTCAATACACACTCCTTTTGCCAACAATTACTAATACATCACAGCCTTAGACACTCCAGAGTGCAGTAGCCATGACAAACATGAAAGCTCTCCATGGCAATTTCCTGAGGTGATAGACCAACTCTTTAATTTCTTACCAAATGAAATATATACCTTCACTTTAAATTGCTCTGAATTAACCAACTACAGCCTGATTAACCGGTGCTTTACGGTACAGCATGGATTTCAACAGGTTTCAACATTGTAGATGTAACCTGTTTTCGTTGAATAATGTAAGACTAGATCCATCTATTCTTTTTTCTTTCTTATCTGTTTAATGGGGAAATACCAACAACATACCCAAGTTAAACGTGTTCTTCTCTCAATCGCTACTGCTGTTCCTAGGACAACATTCCCACAGTATCTTTCCCTCATTCTAAACCCTGTTCCTAAAATCACAGTCAGGGGTGGAGATTATTGGATGGTGGCAAGTGGGATTGCTGGAGTTCTATAACTAGATAAAGCCTAGGGAAATGGCCTGAAATTGTTCATGACTGACTTATTTATTTAAAATAAAATCACATAGGCCTATATATTCCATATGTACATATGTTGTCTGCTTACATGTACATGACTTAATCGCATTAAATGCTGTGTGATTAATTGTGGAAGTGTTTATTGTGCTGGAGGTACCTCGAAATAGCTCAAGTGCATAGTCTACCCTTCCAAAAATTTACCATGGCAGCACGCCCCTGCCATTCACAAAAATACTTGCTAACTTAGTATTAGCCATGCACCATCACCAAAAAAAAAGTTAAATTAAATTAAATTATAGGGTTAATTGCTGGGCCTTTTGATGTCACAAAATGTTTGCAGAGAATGTTTTACATTCATTGATTTTATTAAGATTTTATTAAGATTAAGATCAAAGATTAAAACCTGTGGAGGTGAGGACAACTTTTGTTTATTTATTTTTTAAAACAAAAATGAATCCCTTTAGCTAAAAATGTGATTAAAAAAAATGATCTGGAGAAATATGTTTAAAATGAATGTTAGCAATGGTAACCAGTTATATTTTGATATAAGATTTAGAAGCCTGTGATCAATTATAACATCTGGCAATATACATTTGGTCAATTTAAAAATTCTGTGAAAATTATTAATCATATCTCATAATTGTTCAAGCTTTTTTTTATCATGAAAATGATCATATAATGCAAAAGTGTGTTGTTGAGTGGTATTAGTTTGATTTGTTTACACATATATATATAGTCCTCATTCTGGGTTGTCTCCCTTATTTCTGTGCCTGTCTCTAACCTCTCAACCTGAATTAGGGTGGTATAAATGCACAACCAAACTTTGGTTATATTAACAAAAGTTAATAGATAAATATTTGGTGACATTGAAATCGTCTGATGCTATTCAAGAGAGAGAAAATCGTACCCCGACCCCTGAATTTACGGTTTTAGAGTAACAATAGCCTGGCATTTTATCGTAAATTATGGTTACTATTGTAAATGTTTGTAGCTAAGGATAATAATGCCGTTGAACTTGCCAGAGGTCGTGCACAGCGAATCTTCTGTCACAGCAGCATCCCATCCGATCTCAATGAAACATTGTGCGTGTGAAAATCCTAATGACAGCCGCTATTTACAAAGCGTTTCTCAATAGACTTGCTTTCGAAATCATCATTTTACGCTATAACATCCAGTCAGTGTCAGACGGAGCATCGCTATAAAGCGTCTCGCTCTCATCTGTTCGGGTAATCTATTAGCCTGATTCAAACGTGTAACACGTAAACCCTAGAACAATCTTGTCAAAAATACCTTCATATTACTCGCGTAGAAAACTTACCTTGACAACTTGCCAGCTTTAATATTCCATTGAACGCTTGTGATTGCATTTGAGTCCGCGATATAGAGAACTTTCTGAGCGACTGAGTTGATGAAAGCCTTTCTGTCTCTGTTCAGGCGCACAAATGCATATCTCTCTCTCTCTCTCTCTCTCTCTCTCTCTCTCTCTCTCTCTCTCTCTCTCTCTCTCTCTCTCTCTCTCTCTCTCTCTCTCTCTCTCTCTCTCTCTCTCTCTCTCTCTCTCTCTCTCTCTCTCTCACATCAGGGGTTCAGTCAGTAGAGATACGTGGATGCTGCTACTGATGTGCTGTGATCCGACCAAAATATTGAATGGACTAAAACATGGAGGGATAGGTAACATTTGTTATTCTGTGAAAATATGACATTCATAACTTTTATAACAATGAGTGATGTGATGTGAATTTCGTGACAGTTTCGCAAAACAACCTGTAGGCTATAGGCCTAGGCCTACTCTGTGTGAAATTAACGTTAATGGTTATCGTTGTTGTTTGCGAGTGACAAGTTGATCCTGCGCCCTTGTGCCAGTAAACACTCTTCAGAGAAGTTATTTTGATTAAAAATAAAAACGGCATGAAGCAGATAGTGCAAAAGTCTTTTCTTCTATAGCCTGGCTGTTTACACCTGGCCACTTCATGCGTTTTCTCAGATCGGATAGCTATCTGATTTATCAAAACGATTCCATTTACACCTGGTCACATAAATGTGTTTTTGCAAAACGGATATAAATCCGATCTTCAATTCCCGCTGCAGATTTAATGGAGTGCACGTCACCTGCATATTGCTGCATTTTATTGATCATCAGCTAATTTCAAAATCAAAGACAGCGCAATAAGAGAGAACGTAATTTTTGGCTTCGTAATCTTTATAGTCTAGATGGGATGTACCCAAAAAGTGAAAGTGAGGAGCATTTGTGGGTACAAGTCGGGAACCGGCCTACTTTACATATTTCAAGGGTGCTGAATCCAAAAAAACTGGTACCCAAGCGAAATTGTGAGTTTTTGACCTTCTAATTTGCATATCAAAATGGCGGCCAAATTGCCTATCTTGCTCAGTCGTTGGACCATTTTCCACTAGTTTTTTTGTAAGTAGGCAATCAAGATGAGGAAATTAAGTTTCTAGATCGATAGTCAAGGGTCAGAGCAAAGATATAATGGAGGATCACTGTCTTTTTTATGTACAGTATATATGCAAAATACCAACTTTTAAGGTGAAATTAGGCATTATTTGTGTCATTTTTTAAGGCCGACATAAATATTCAATCAATATCACTCTTAAATGTTCCCAGTGTATATATGATATGTGATGTATTCCATATTACATAATAACTAAGAAAAACACCATTGCAAGTTGTCTGAGATTTCATTTTTTTTTATGCAAACAAAGCATTCCCTAGACTGTACATTTCCTGAAGAAAATGTGAAGTGGTGCTTGCAGTGGCAAAATTGCATACGAGCCAACAAACATGTCTGTACGATGTTCTGGTGCTGAGATATGGCTTATTCATGTTGTTCAGGTGGTTGCTAGGCAGTTGCTAGGGTGTTCTAGGTGGTTGCTATGGTGTTTCTAGGCAGTTTCTAGGGTATTCTGGGTGGTTGCTAGGGCGTTACTAGGCAGTTGCTAGGGTGTTCTAGGTGGTTGCTATGGTGTTGATAGGCAGTTGCTAGGGTATTCTGGGTGGTTGCTAGGGTATTCTGGGTGGTTGCTAGCATGTTGCTAGGGTGTTCTGGGTGGTTGATATGGTGTTCCCAGGGTGTTCTGGGTGGTTGCTAAGGTGTTGCTAGGCGGTTGCTAAGGTATTCTGGGTGGTTGCTAGGGTGTTATGGGTGGTTGCTAGGGTGTTATGGGTGGTTGCTATGGTGTTACAAGGTGGTTGGTAGTTGTCACAGATGGTTACTATGGAGTTTTTATAGAGTTCTTAGCATGTTCTAGGCATGATTTAGCACTTACCTAATCACTAATAGCATGTAGCTATTCACAGCTAGCATGTGTAGCATGTTGGAAGTCCTCTTTGCTAGCATGAGTCAAAAGAGCCAACCCCCATTTCTCTATGATGTTCTGATGCAGAGATATACACTCACCTAAAGGATTATTAGGAACACCTGTTCAATTGACCTCTCGCCGGCCCCTCCCCCAAAACGGCCATTGTCCAATCACACATCATAGCAACCGTTACTATGTGAGCAGGTCCGTCAAACATTGACTCCAAGCAAGATGGTGAAGCGGTGTGCCTACGGCGTTTGTAAATCGGACACTAGGTACTCCGAGAGATTGTCTGGAGGAGTTGTGTTCTTTCCGTTTCCAAAGCCGACAATGGATAAAACAGTGTGGACGGCCCCACTCCCAGTTAAATGTGTCGAACATGGTTAACTCGCGTGCAGCGTGTGTGAGACTGAGACACTGAGATTAGTCAAAGAAACATGGAGAAAGCAGATCAAGAGGATCCACGAAGGAATTACGTTTTCTAAAGGGTTGTTGTTAACATGATATTTTCGGGGGGAAATGAGCAGCAGTCAACTAGCAGTGCAGCACCTGTAGACTACAGTTTAGAGGAGAGCAAGTTCGCAACGGGGAAAGCATGAAGCTTACTTGACAACATCAGTTCATATATCAATATCGTAACAAATAGAAATAACCTTAAATAATGTATGGTTATCTGCATCTTTCCGTCTCTTATGTATAACGTTAGTTACTTTTTAAACACAAAAATCACATTCAGCATGACACGCAAGTGGTTGTTGTGGTAATGAACAACCTACTTGTTAAAGCGAATGTATAATCCTGTATCTGAGGCAAAATTACTAAGTTAAATATGCAGCGCAAGTTATATATTTCTAACTCCAAACAATTGGCCACTGAACCAGCTTATAAAATCTTCTTCAAGGCCGTGCTGGTTGCATTTGAGGTACAGGTCGTTACAGTAAGCATTATAGCCTTTTTTTTTTTTTATATATTTTGAATATATCCCTTCACTGCATACTGTAACCCCTTTTGCCTCGATCTGGAGGATATCGCGGAGGTATTGCTCCAAAAAAGGTCACTGACACGCACGGGTATACCTCTTCTCGTCATGGCAATCTGTCGCGCTGGTCGTGTTTGACCATTTGTTTGTCGGACGTAGCAACAGTAACTAAGGGGGGCGGGGCTCGGCGAAAGGCTAATTTCTCATTAATGCAATTATCTAATCAACCAATCACATGGCAGTTGCTTCAATGCATTTAGGGGTGTGGTCCTGGTCAAGACAATCTCCTGAACTCCAAACTGAATGTCAGAATGGGAAAGAAAGGTGATTTAAGCAATTTTGAGCGTGGCATGGTTGTTGGTGCCAGACGGGCCGGTCTGAGTATTTCACAATCTGCTCAGTTACTGGGATTTTCACGCACAACCATTTCTAGGGTTTACAAAGAATGGTGTGAAAAGGGAAAAACATCCAGTATGCGGCAGTCCTGTGGGCGAAAATGCCTTGTTGATGCTAGAGGTCAGAGGAGAATGGGCCGACTGATTCAAGCTGATAGAAGAGCAACTTTGACTGAAATAACCACTCGTTACAACCGAGGTATGCAGCAAAGCATTTGTGAAGCCACAACACGCACAACCTTGAGGCGGATGGGCTACAACAGCAGAAGACCCCACCGGGTACCACTCATCTCCACTACAAATAGGAAAAAGAGGCTACAATTTGCAAGAGCTCACCAAAATTGGACAGTTGAAGACTGGAAAAATGTTGCCTGGTCTGATGAGTCTCGATTTCTATTGAGACATTCAGATGGTAGAGTCAGAATTTGGCGTAAACAGAATGAGAACATGGATCCATCATGCCTTGTTACCACTGTGCAGGCTGGTGGTGGTGGTGTAATGGTGTGGGGGATGTTTTCTTGGCACACTTTAGGCCCCTTAGTGCCAATTGGGCATCGTTTAAATGCCACGGCCTACCAGAGCATTGTTTCTGACCATGTCCATCCCTTTATGGCCACCATGTACCCATCCTCTGATGGCTACTTCCAGCAGGATAATGCACCATGTCACAAAGCTCGAACCATTTCAAATGGGTTTCTTGAACATGACAATGAGTTCACTGTACTAAAATGGCCCCCACCACATCTCAACCCAATAGAGCATCTTTGGGATGTGGTGGAACGGGAGCTTCGTGTCCTGGATGTGCATCCCACAAGTCTCCATCAACTGCAAGATGCTATCCTATCAATATGGGCCAACATTTCTAAAGAATGCTTTAAGCACCTTGTTGAATCAATGCCACGTAGAATTAAGGCAGTTCTGAAGGCGAAAGGGGGTCAAACACAGTATTAGTATGGTGTTCCTAATAATCCTTTAGGTGAGTGTAGGTCTTTCAAAATGGTTGCTAGGGTACTCTGTTTGGTTGCTAGGGAGTGGATAATCATGAAATGCCAAAGGCTGCATTTCAGTGTGAATTATATAAACCAACCCCTATCTCTATATGATGTTCTGATGCAGAGATATAGGTCTTGCAAAATGGTTGCTAGGGTACTCTGTTTGGTTGCTAGGGAGTGGCTTGGAAGCTGCCAATGATGAATCTCCAAAGGCTGCTTGTCAGTGTGAATGATATAAACCAACCCCCAACTCTATACGATGTTCTGATGCAGAGATATAGGTCTTGCAAAATGGTTGCTAGGGTACTCTGTTTGGTTGCTAGGGAGTGGCTAATCATGAAACACCAAAGGCTGCTTGTCAGTATGAATGATATAACCCAACCCCTATCTCTATATGATGTTCTGATGCAGAGATATAGGTCTTGCAAAATGGTTGCTATGGTACTCTGTTTGGTTGCTAGGGAGTGGCTTAACAGCTGCCAATCATGAAACTCCAAAGGCTGCTTGTCAGTGTGAATGATATAAACCAACCCCCATCTCTATACGATGTTCTGATGCAGAGATATAGGTTTTGCAAAATGGTTGCTAGGGTACTCTGTCTGGTTGCTAGAGAGTGGCCAATCATGAGTTGCCTCCATTATATCTTTGCTCTGACCCTTGACTATCGATCTAGAAACTTAATTTCCTCATCTTGATTGCCTACTTACAAAAAAACTAGGGGAAAATGGTCCAACGACTGAGCAAGATAGGCAATTTGGCGGCCATTTTGA